TGACAAGTATCGCTTTGCTAACTTAATATATTAATATTTCTCTAAACATACATTAATTTACAAAAGTCAAGCAATGTATTGAAAGGACATTACAAGGATGAATGAATTGTTGGCACAAATGAAATAAGTAGAATGATGACAAGCATCAATTAACAAGTTTAAGGGCAATACATTCATGATCATTTTTTACAATATATTTGTGGAATTATGCATCAGCTTATAAAAGTTAAGCAACGTTGTTGAGGACAAATGTTGGATGAATGAACCAAATATCGTGTGTACCTAATAATAAATTGTAAATCTCCATATGAAAATTACACAATATATACTAAGTAATTTATTAAGTATATTTACTTTCCCTTATTTTACTGTAAATACTTGACTAATTGACTCAAAGAGAAATGTTGCTTCCAATATTTTTCCATTTATTTTTACATAAATCTGATCGTTTTATTCTAATCTTTATTGATCATTACATCTAAAAAGTGATTTAATCTTGTTACACCTTCCATTAGTTTCAGTTCACCTTTCCACACAATATATAAGTCTACATAATTCGATAATCTTCTCAGATTATGTAATCCATATATGTTGGTTCTTATTATAAAACTTTCTTTAATGTCTATTTCTGAATACTATGCGAACAAAAAAAAATATGGAAAAGAAAAGTGTTGGGTCGTTATACAATTATATTACTAATTATGAGAATTTTTTATTTTTATGTTTCGTATTTATTTTTTCCTCCTTTACTAATAATTAGTAATTATTTTCAATTGTTTGATCATTAGCTATTTGGATTTTTACTTTCATTGTTTATTGCGTACACGTTGTTTGAAATTCCTTCATCTAATACGTTAATTATTATGAGGATGTTTTAAATATAAAAGAAGAAAATATTAATTACTTAAACAAATGTATGCAAGACATTTGCAATTGAAATTTAATTGAGGAAATCGATGCGACGGAGGAAGCAGATTTATATACTCCAATAAATTATCGACAACAACAGAAAAAAAATCCTGCAGTTGGTAAAACTAATATGCAGAAGCAATTAGGAGTTAGTAGTAAACTGATTAACTCAATTTAAAATGGTTGTACACGAGCAGGGATAATTATAATCCCATATTAATTAGACACGAAACCATTAGCAGAGCAATTTCAATTATCCGCGGAGAGGAGATATTATCTCGGATGGACTCACGATCATGATTATTGTTGATATTTGACGGATTACTGTTAGATGATGATGATGGTTTGTTGTAGTCCGCGAAATGTAGTCTATAGTCTATACTTTTGCCTTACATTGTCATATATTTTGTTATATAATTATGTATAATTTTTTAATTAATATTTAAGTAGTTTTCAAGAATGACTCCAAGGATTCGCTACTCTACAGCAATATTGTTCAATACTTGTTATATAAACTACTTGGCAAGTATTGTTTACGTGGGATTATTGTAGAAGTTTACTTAAACTAATAAAAGTATATATATAATCAATGTTGAAAACTCGTTACTTGGCAAGTACTGTTTTTGGAAAAATTTTGAATCAGAGTAATTGCAATAAATTAATTCTAATTGAATAAATAAAACTGTATGTATAAAAACAATGTTTGTGTATGAAGCAGAAAACACGTTGAGCAAACGAAACAAAATAGAAGATGTGATCGAAACAACGTCTATATAGATAAAGTGTAAATAGTTATTGTTACATTTATAAATTTTTAAGATTCTCTTCTTTACAGCAATATTGTTCAATACTTGTTACTTTACATTGTCATATATTTTCTTATATAATTATGTATAACTTTTTAATTAATATTTAAGTAGTTTTCAAGAATGACTACAAGGATTATCTTCTCTACAGCAATATTGTTTAATACTTGTTATATAAACTACTTGGCAAGTATTGTGTACGTGGGATTATTGTAGAAGTTTATATATTAAATTTTGTTGCGTTTGAGTAATTATCAAAAACATTAATTAATAAAAGTTTATATAAAATCAATGTTGAAAACTCGTTACTTGGCAAGTACTGATTTGGAAATATTTTGAATCAGACTAATTGCAATGAATTAATTCTAATTCAAGAAATAAAAATGTATGTATAAAAACAATGTTTGTGTATGAAGCAGAAAACACGTTGAGCAAACGAACTAAAATAGAAGACGTGATCGAAAAACAATGTCTATATAGATAAAGTGTAAATAGTTATTGTTACATTTATAAATTTGTAAGGGATTATTGACAGGTCTGGGTCGTCATCCGCGTCTGAACCCACGAGGAAAACGCAACGATCTCGTCTCGTCCGATTGATCCGTCTGCTACTCGGGTTCTTTACGTAACAATAATATGTTTGTCATATCGCGCAGATTATTGGATCATTTTTCATTTTTTTTGTTTGTTTGTTATGGTTGCATATCGGTCGCGTTTGTGGACAACCATCCGTGAACGATTGTCAGAAGGACATGCGACTGAACGCGTACACTTGTCACGTTCTTTATTTCTCCCCAGACACCGAAAAGGCCAAACGCCAGACAATAATGATAATTGTTTCGCATTACGAACCACGAGTGGAACGCACTTTGTTGAATACGTACGTTTACCTTTCTGCTATGTCTCTGTATTTTGGACATTTGTAGTATTTAAAACTTTAGTTAATTACAGAATATTTTTAAATAATAAACGTTTTATTATATTAATACCAAAATATTTTGATATTTAAGATGAAAAAAGTCAATTATAGAAATTTCAATTATGTTGATTTGAAAACATTAAACTTTGATATATGCAAATTAATAAATATATTTGATCTTCACCGACCTATGAGATAGGATTAAAACCTTTTTTATCTTTAAATTAAATAATACAATTAGTTTGTTAATTTGATGAAAAAATCATGTAATTTATAGACATATAGTTGATGCCTATATACAATCATTGCAAGTTAGGAATGAAGATTTTCAATTTTGTCTGAGCTGTAAACATAAAGGTATTTGCATGGTTGTATTACTGAATTTAAAAGCATCTACCTTAAAAACCATTTGACCTTCACCGACGCACGTTATAGGATTGAAGACATTACCTGTTTTTAAATTATATAATATAATTGGTTCATTAATTTGATGAAGAAGTTGAATTAAAATCGTTGTAGACAGAAAATTTTCTATTTGTTTTATCTAAGCTAATTACGTAAAAGTATTTGTTACATGGTTTGTAATACTGTATTTCAAAGGAATTTGCAGCATCTACCTTAAAAAGCCATTTGATCTTCACCGACACATATTATAGGATTGAAGACATTAGCTGTTTTTAAATTGAATAATGTAATTACTCTTTTTTAAATTTCTTAAAGAAGTTGAATTAAATTGAAGATTTTCATTTTTTTTTTCATCTGAGTTAAAAACATGAAGGTTATATATGTTGTGCATGGTTGTAATACTGTATTTCAATGGAATTTGCAGCATCTACCGTACAAAACCATTAGATCTTTACCGAAATACGTGACAGGTGTGAAAATCCGATGGAACGACAGGTGTTTTGTGCATCGTCTTTACGACGGCTCTTGCATCTTCCGGTCATCGAACCTATTGCACTTCGGCAAAGCGAATGAAAAGAAACGTGCATACATGCACGAACATTACATACTTTTTCGTTTGTTATGTTATTATTCCTGTTGTCTCGTTTTTATTGTTTGCTGTAAATAGATTTTCGCGCAACACATTTTTGTTGTTGCTGTTGTTGTTATTATTTTTGCACAACATTGATCGACGGATCATCATCATCGTCAATGATGCAAAAAAAAGTGATGGTTCTCCATTATACGAAAAATCGAATCCGCGGTTTCCTTTGATCCGCGAAACCTGTTTTCAGTATTTCATAATTGCTCCTCTGTACATCGCCGCCACAGCCGCTTCGTCTTCATGAACTGGTCCATATGCAGAATGTTATGGTCTAATAAGTAGGAAGCTGAAATTGCCCGCTGAATATCTGCTGCCCACACGTGCAATTACCTGTAATTACTTCCGGTTCTGGTATGGACTAAGGAGGAGGAAACAAAAGGAGGAGTAATGATAACAGCGATGGAAAAACGGCAAAACCGAAGGAAAATTGTTTTTCCGATTCGCTCCTCCTGGCAATTAGAGTTTTTTTTTTGTAGCGCATATGAGATTATCAGACTGCATCCTTTTTATTTACCACTGTAATAACACGTTCCTTACGTTGTTATTATTAAGCACACACATCACTAATTTGTCTAAGAAATAAGTATACTGTAAGGCTTTTCTACTTAATATCATAATTAAACGCAGGTGGATTTGTATCCTTTCATTATATTACAAAGTTTTAAACGTGTATCTGTAATCATTTCCATACATTTCATTTATAGACATTTCAATAAGAAACAAGTTTTATTTAACATAAGTAGAAAAACCTTTTACATCTGATATTGAAGACAAAATTCATTGAATTTTCTTCTATGGAATGGCAAACATTTGCTCCAATTTTACATTTATACATACTAGAAGTAAATTCAGTTCTGGAATTTAATTGTTTTTATGTAATTATTGCAGTATAGTCAACAAATATTGCTTTTTTTTTGCAAAATTTGTTGAAATTTACTTTGAGTTTTATATAACTTTTAAACTTTATTTTATTCCAATTTTATAACTTTCTTAAGTAATATATAATTACTTAAAATATGATTAGTATTTTTGTTGTCCATAGTTATTCAAGTTTTAGTACATAGTTAGTATGTGAGAGTTTGATCTTCATTTATCAAAATTATATAAAAAATCAGTTTAAAAGGCACAATAAAAAAGAATGTATAATAATAAACAAATCAATCACAGCAAATGGAAATCAAATCAGTGAGCATTTCGTTCTACCAATTGAGCTGTGCGTTATTCGCGTCGTTTTTCTGTTCTATGGGGCTATAAATCTCAAATTCTCTACTATTTAAGACTCGCTGGTTTCAGTTTTATGTCTCAGTCTATATATGAGCGTGCAAAGAAGTGCACAACATGTAAGGTTCTGTTGTGTGCAGCAAACAGATTTATTGCCATCCGATTAATGTGTATTTATTTGTCCGCACATTTACTTATTAAATCATTGCAATTATTTTACTATGAAATGTTCTATTTCTTTTTGTTATTGCTTTAACGTACGACCATAACGATCGCAATCTCATCCAAAAGTCGAAGAATGTTACAGCTCTCTTGTTGCGTTATTCCAACAAAAAAAATATGCACATAACTTATCAACTTTTACATCTGCTTTCTATGAGATTATATGCATTTTTTTTATTTATTATAGTGTGAAGTAATCTTGGAGTGAAGTAATCTTAGAGTGAAGTATGACATAAAATGTCACTTTATTTATTTACTCAATTAACACGATACTTTAGTTACACGCATCATTTCCAATTATAATTAAGTTTTAGTTTTTGTTTGCAGTTTCTTAAATGTAATCTGCTTTTGTGACTTTATTCTTCGTTAAGAATTTGGAGTATTTTAAAAAGATGAAGAGTTTCATTTTAGGAATAAGATAAGATAGATTATGTATTGTTCTTTCAGAGGTGCAGTACAACGGTACTTTCAAGGATGGTGAATTCCATGGGACAGGGGTGCTGAGTTACCCTATGGGTCAGCAGATCATTGGTGAATGGCTCGAAGGAAAGTTGCTCTCCTGGAAGTACAAGTTCCGAGATGGGCTGGAGTTCGAGCAGCCGTGGAAGTACTGCAAATACCCGGACCGAAGGTAGTTATTATTGTTGTTATTACTCTTGTTACATAAACGGATTGAATTATTAATTGCATCCACGAAGTATGAAATACGGGCCTTTCAAAAAGAGTTACATACTCCAATTAATGTAAACGATTCCATTCGCCTTTGTAGTCCATCAATTGCGCAACGACATCATTCTCTCATCACCTCTCACTTCTATTGCATATCTATCGCCGAAAAGTAAACGCTCATAACTGCATTGTTTTATGTTTTCGAATGATGATTATAATTGGTTTAATTATATAACTAGATTCTATACGACTCTTCTGGAAGGTCTGCGACCCGCAGGTCGCGAACTCATCACCAACGACGTCGTGCCCAGACCGATCCCGAAGGGTTGCTACGATGTCGGAGAAGGTTTCTACAGTCCTCAGCACAAGTGCATCATCAGCGCATACGACGAGAACAAAATAATTCGGTACGCGATTTTTTTTGTATTTACCCATTTTATATTTATACACTCTTTCCTTCGATTCGTGCTCTCGTTTAAATGCAGAATACCAAATGAGGAGGAGGAAAATTGGATCATAAAGAATTGCAGGAAGGCCTGGGACGAGCCAACTGGATTCCGGCCAGATTTATACAATCATTGGACAACAGGTACACTTTACCATTGTTCTCGCGGTTGTGGAAAACACACGAAAGAGGAGAGAGGAACAGACGAAAAGCAAAAAAATAATAAATATGCACACATACACACATATATACAGCGAAAGAGAATTGCATTATTTTTATTCTCTTTTCCTCTCCACCACGTGCCATTGTTCTATCCTTCGGCTTTGTCTGTCGTCTGTGTACATGCAGACGTGCCTGGTCTGGTCTGGTCTCCTTTGCATTGAATTCAAATCAATTTGCGAGGCTTGTTTATTTTTCCTTTCGATCCATTTATATTTGCGTTTTGCTCCTTGTTGCTTCTTTTTTGTTTTAGGAAGGAAAGCGAGCGTCGAGTCGATCCTGGCGAAGGATGAGAGCCGTCGCAAACGCAGCACCACGGCAAGTAACTACAGCAGAATGTCCGAAGTCGGCGAGTAAAACTTTACTTTTTCAATCTACATTTTTTACTTTTAGTTATACTAATTTACATACAGAGTATTTACATCACATGCATATATTAAATATCCAAATGATCTAAATCGATTTTTTTTATATAAATCATTGTTTCTCAACCTTTTAGCTAAAAGATCTAACATATTTGTTTGCAGTTACATACAATTTTTTATAATGTAAAAATGTTGACACTTTGACGTAAGATGACAGCTATCATTTCGCAACCCATGAATATATTTTCGGAGCATAAGACGCACTTTTTTTAATTGAGAAATTAAACTTAGATTTCATCTTATTTATTGGTCGAAGTAAATAGTTTTGAGCGTTTTTCGTTAGATGGCTTTAGTGAGCCATATCTCACGATGTATATGTTACATCTTTTCTTTCTATACTGCTACTTAAAGGCGACATAACACTTTAAAAAAAAGTTCGTTGACAGTTTTGTGTATAGTGAATCCCGTTGTGTGTTAGAGCGATCCAAAATGGACGTAAAAAAAGAGAAAATTCCATAGATTCTTCAGTACAGGTGGCCAAAAAAATTTTGTTGTTTATGGATTCAATACAGTATCGAATGCAACAGCAAAGCTTTGGTTCCAACGCTTCCGTTCTGGTAATATTGTCATCGAAGATGAGATACACTGTGGTGGCCAATCGTCAAAAATGTTGATAAAATCATGGAAATCGTTGAGCCGAGTGAGCTCTTATTCCATTGCCCAGGAACTGAAGATTAACCTGAATACTGCTTGCATAAGGCTGGTGTTAAGAAGAAGCTCGATGTATGGGACAAATAGCTTAGAACTTTTTACTTCACCCAATATTTTTTTTCATAAAAATTGTATTATAGATTTAGGGTGTGTCTTATAGTCCGATGTATGTTTTAGTTTGCAAAACATGTCCTGGATTAGGATTAGTTTGATTTCAAACAGTACATAATATTATACGTACTATGCGAGGTATAGCTGTAACCGTATTTCAATTTTAAACAGATATTACCAGAAAATAAAAAAAATCCAAATAATTTCCTATAATATATAAACATAATTAATATAATTAGTTGTAAGTTAATGAATTTAGTATTTTCTTTATACGCTGAGTGAAAGTACTTGACGAATTTGCAAGAATTAAAAGTGTTAAGTAGCTTCAACTGTATAACCATGGTTGTTAGTATATTTGCCTATATTATAAGGAAAAAAAAAGTTGTATACATTTACTTAATTTCAATGAAATAGTTGCAATGAAATTATGTAATACGCTTTTTAATATATTGTTGTAGAAGTATGAATATGGGAATTATATTGACAAAAAATAGTTTAAAAGTAACAAAATAATTTGAAAATACGTTTTGTTACCTCATTTTAAAGTAACTTGAATGATTATTGAAGATATTCTTAATTGATATTTCAATTATTTTACTGAAAACAAGAATATATCTTATAATTATGGTTTTTGATAAATCATCCAAAAAAAATGATGAATTATTTTACGTACTTCTTTGATTTAACATTTATAATATTACTTGGTATTCAATTACAGTACAGTAGAACTTCGTTTAACGAGTACCTCAAATTATACTCGTTAAGCGAGGTTCCACTGCATTTAAAAAAATACATTCATAAGCATCTTACTTATCTCAATTAAGTTGTCTTATATCTAGCCGTGTACATAATTCGTACGACTTGGCAATACTTGAACGAACTTCCCAAGCATCGCGTAATATTCGAGTAATCTCCATGACTACCATAGCTTACTTGGCAAGTAATTGCACTCATTCTTGTATTTTGTATGAATGAAAAAATCGATCTATTGGATACTAAATAATGAAAATGTTAACATTAAATAAACGAAAAGAACACAAAATGTACACTTTTGTGTTTTGTCTGGAACGAAACTAATAATTAAAATTATGATTGGCAGATTCGATTCCTCGAACGAAATTTAAAATAAATATTTATATAATCCTCCGACGCATACAGCAGAATACATCCAATATTCCTTGAAAAATTTCATCGCGAAATCTATTTGAAAAACGTGCATCCATTCCCACGCCCTTTACCCATTTCATCATACAACCAACGACCCTACTTCCTATTCCTACCCTGCGCCATTATTTACTTGCAGTTTATACTTCATTATTATGAAAAGTGTATTTCGCCGTCAGAAAGATGCATCACTCCTCCCCACACGCACATTTTCAACTCTCGGAGATTTCCTTTTTACTTTTCTTTCTCGTGTCATTCGCCTGTCGTTCAGCATCTACAAACTGAATACAAAACACGTGTTTTATATGCCCCGAGGTTGAATCGAAATTCACCCTTGCGCGCGGATTTACTCCCTTCTTTACTTCTTTATTTTTTTACTATTTTTCATCTGTCCGCCTGCAGCAATATTTTTCCGATATTTTTTTTTTCCTTATTTTGTTTTTGTTTTCGTTTCATCTCTCTTTTCTACTTTTCGCGCGACCCGAAAGGGCAGGAAACGGAAAAGTTCGACGACGACGACGTGGGGTGCTTCAACCTTTCGCACGTCGAGAGTTCGTTCATTACTTTTTATGTAAACACGAAAATAACATTGATTTTATTCGGGGTCGGGGAAAAATTGCACGAACGTATAATCTAGTCTCAAATAGAATTGGAAAAAATAAACGATTTTGATTGCTTCAATTGAACTCGTACAAAAGAAATAAAAACTGATCAGAACTGAAACAAAACGACATTTTCCTACCATTTGAAGTTATTATTATTATTACAAAACTTAATTAATATAGAATTTTCATAATTATGTAAAAAAAAAACTTAACCATTCGAAAGTTAACATTATTTCAGTACTTTTGTTCAGAAAACATTAGCAATTGAAAAAGTAAATAAAATTTGATCTAAGTAATTTTTTTTTGTAATTTTTACAATAATTAAAAATAAAACTCTTAAACCTAACCTAAAAGAGTTATTTTTTTCCACTATAAAATAAAAAAAAACATTTTAGTTAGATTTTATTCCAAATTGTAAATATTTGAAGTAACTGGGAAAAATGAGAAAAAAAAATCTTACAAAATGTGTTTTTATTTAATTTTTGAAAATATAAGTTAAATTTTATGCAATTTATTTTTTGATCAGTAGAAAAACAAATTTAATTCAAGTTTTAGGCAATTAAAGAAAAATTAGTGGTCGTTTTTAAGGTTAGGTTATGTTAGGTTAGGAAAACTTTCAGTGAATCAAGGCCATATCAGATTAACATTATTTCATCCTTTATTTCATCTTAATACAAAACTGAATTTGACTATGTATTACTTTGTACTTATTATTACGTAACTTACATAATAACATGAGTTGCATACAAGAATTAAATAGAGATTAATAATTTTATCAAATTAATAACGATTTTCTTGGAACGAACATCAATTTTAGCAAATTTATCGTTAGCTTATCTCCTGCAATATTACTTAATTAACATAAAATTTTCATAATTATGAAAAAAAAAATAACTTGACCATTCGAAAGTTAACATTATTTCAGTACTTTTTTTTCAGAAAACTTTAGCAATTGAAAAAGTAAATAAAATAAGTTTTTTTGTAATTTTTAGAATAATTAAAAATAAAACTCTTAAACCTAATCTAAAAGAGTTATTTTTTCTTTCCAATATAAAATAAAAAAAAAGCATTTTAGTTAGATTTTATTCCAAATTGTAAATATTTGAAGTAATTGGGAAAAATGAGAAAAAAAAATCTTACAAAATGTGTTTTTATTTAATTTTTGAAAATATAAGTTAAAATTTATGCAATTTATTTTTTGATCAGTAGTAAAATTTAATTCAAATTTTAGGCAATTAAAGAAAAATTAGTAGTCGTTTTTAAGGTTAGGTTATGCTAGGTTAGGGAAGCTTTCAGTGAATCAAGGCCATGTCAGATTAACATTATTTGATGCTTTATTTCATCTTAATACAAAACTGAATTTAACAATGTATTACTTTGTACTTATTATTACATAACTTACATAATAACATGAGTTGCATACAAGAATTAAATAGAGATTAATAATTTTATCAAATTAATAACGATTTTCTTGGAACGAACATCAATTTTCGCAAATTTATCGTTAGCTTATCTCCTGCAATATTACGTATTTTTATTCGTTCCTTTCCACAGCCGATAAGCCATTATCTATTTAACATGATTCCATCCAAAGTATTCCCAAGCACACATGAATCTATCGATTAGCCATAAATCTTTCAACTAAATAATGAAATCGTCAACGACTTTCCTTCATAACACCAGAATCGTTTGAACTCAACCTCCCAAATCTTCGTCACTCAAAAATTTTTACTGCTCCGCTAATTTGCGTGTGCCGCAGCTATAATATCCAATACTTTAAGACCGCATCTGGAAGTCATTTCTGGTGTCCACAACGTCGAAAGAAAATAAAAAAAGTGTTTTATTCGACGCTTCCATCCACGACATACACGCTACCATAATTTATTTCCATTTCATAATTGTCATAACAAGTATACTTTTTATTGAGTTTCGGCTCAATAAAAAACGCACGAGAAGATAATATTTCTTTTCATTTTGTTTTCACGCCATCATTCATGTTAATTACGAAAAAATGTCGACTGTATATTTATAAATACTCTCTCCTCGCTCTTTAAGTACTCGTAAAGTAGTTTATTTGAGAATTTTTATAAAGGAAAGTATACAGTTTGTGTTTGTTTGTATATTTTGTTTAATTGAGTTCAACTTAAGATAATTAGAGTAATTTTGATGTTTATTTGAATACTATTTGGATTATATTCATTAATTCTTTTGGGAAAAGTAACTGTTTTTGGAATCATTCGGTTTTCGAACAGACATCGAATTAAGTTCGACAACTTCTGTTGTACCAGTGGCGCCTCTAGAGAACTAAGATTTGATGACTGCGCCACCATAGTGGCCTTAGTTTCATGTTTAATGAATATGGCGGATATATCCGCCGCTCTTCGGTAAAGGGTTAAAGTACTGTAAAATGAAATCATTTGCATTTCTCTGCACTATAGAATTGTACATAGATGAATGAAC